CCCGATACCGATACCAGTATCGGTATCGGTGCATCCCTAGTTTTAATATCACATGTAACTACTCATTAAATACTAGTAGTTCCAATAGCAACTAGTATCTCTTTGTGACACTATATCCCTGTTATTACTAGTAATATTTATTTTACTCGGGTACAAGTGATTTTTGTAATGTCATGTAATGAAAAATTAAGACTACTAAACAGAACTACTTTATAGTTAAAATAAAAATCTTTACTACCGAGATATTTAAAAAAATAAAATAAAGCAGTTACTAGTAATAATTTGTAAACATTGGCTACTGTCTAAATAGCTATTAGTGTCTATGAAACTGCTTCTAGGAAACCTGAAATGCATACTAGAAACTACAGTAAACATATTTAAGCAATTTTAAAGTCATGTGAACCAGAAGCAAAATTCCTTTCAGATAATCCACCAGAAACCGAGAGCTGCTAGATAATGGCAATGAAGAATATGCACTTTGTTCTCTGACATCAGTGGCACTGCATTGATGGATCTCAAAACACTTTTAAGCTACAAACACGCAGAAAAGCAAACGCAGGTGCAAATTTACTTTTTTTGACCAAAACCAACAATTATTTTTGCTGACAGTTTTTGTGCATCTTTAAGCATTAGTCACAATGTGTATTGACTTATCCAAATAGATAAAATATCTTTGAAGGAATAAATGTTAAAACAACTTGCCATATCATATGTTCAGGGCTGCTCAGTGGACTGTAACATATGCATGCAGATTGGTTTGCTCTGAAGGCATACAGTGCCCTTGCTCTTTAGATAGAACAGCTAATGTTCCTTCAGTGGACACTGAAGATTTTAAGCCATGAAACCAACACAAGTGATGAGATCAAGCTCAAATTATTATAAAAGTGGTGATCTTTATTTAAACCCAGTGTACATAACAGATGCACAACATAGCTACAGGGTACAGACAAATTATTCTGGATTTATAAAAAACACAATGTACCACAAACAATTACGAAAAAAGGGTATAGATATTTTCAAATGAGAATTCATTCAGAAAGCAAGCACAAAATGTGCTTTCAGCAATGCGCATAATCAACTCAATGCCAGGCAATTATGATAAAGCAAAAAACAGATGACATGTTTTGAGTTCCTAAGCATTTACATTACTGCAAACAGTATAGAGTGAGTCTTGGTGACAAAACATTACAAAAACACTGCTTTAGCCTGTTGGGTGTATTTACTTTATATAGTCACTGTTTGTACTATTATGCATACATATCTTCACGGTCAGCATTGTAGATTTCACCCTCCTGCAGAGAAGCGAAGTTGAGGAAGTGAGATGGCCTGTGAACTTCATGGTAGAACTCTTTTGGGTTGGCCAACTGTAGGTCATACTTCATGTTGGGATCATGGCGAACACCTAGAATGAAAAGGGAGAGGTTAGAAGAGCAGAATGCTGTATCTGCAACTTACAAAAGGTGAAAAATCACTTAAAAATGTATCATTTTAAGGCTATGCTCACCCATGAAGTTGTAGTTCCAGGAGACTTGGCCAGGCACCATGAAGAAGCCAAGGAAACGATCAGACAAAAGCATTTGGACTCTTTCGTAGTGAGAGGGCAAGTAACCTTTGGGGTTATTTCCCTTATCTGTGTTTTGTCGACCCCACTCATATCCACTGGGAGTCAGCTTGTAGGCCGTCAGCGTGCAGGAACCAGGGGTGAAACTAGATAATGAAAACCAAATGTTTAAAACCCACAAATGCCACATTGAATACATGACACTGGCCAATCATTATACTCAGGGATGTTAAAAGTGCAGCCACAGTGCATTAGTGTGCTAAAACTGTACCTGCAAGTAATAATGATAGTCTTCTCGCCATCCCAGGATGGGTTGTCAGCCATGACCTTTGCATGGGTGGTTACATCCTGAGGAGAGAGCTGGGGCGATTCATTGGGCTGTGTATGGATCCATCCAAGAGGCTCCATTTCCTATGAAATTCAAGAGCAATGATTCAAGAGGCATTCAAACGGTTTGATACGGCTGGGAAGACATAGTTTGCTGATAACACCAAACTATAGTCATATGCATGTGTGTAAAATGCTGACCTTCAAGTACTCGTGTTGTGGCAGCTGGTTAGGCAGGTGAACGGTCTGATGTGTACCCCACTGTGGCACCATCACAATGCAGCGGATTTCCTTTACCTGAGGGTTATCTGGAGGACTGGTTCCATACAGGTAACCTGCAATCTACAGGAAAACATTACAGAGATGCAAACTAAATTCAGGTTTAGAATACTACTAACGAAGGAAGAAGATTCACAAGGGAAAACATGTTAAAAAGTACAATCGGTCAATCTAACCTGAGCACGCAGATCTGAGATGCAAATGAACTTCTTCAGAACGTTCTTGGGCAGGATGTAAGTGTAGCCAGTTTCTTTGATGTCATCCGATGACACGTAGATGTGGTTAGTACGTAAGTGCAAGTTGGCAGCAGAGATCGCCCTGTGAGATCAGGAAAACCGTTTAAAAACAAAGTCTAGCTGTGTTTTAACAACTATAAAGACAAGAGTGACATGGAAAACTTTCCACACCTAACTCTCCATTCGGTTTTGGAAGAGAAGGTCTGCGTCTCGTAGTTGCTGGTGGTGGAGGTGATAATCTCATCTCCGTGTTTGTTGACAGTGCGAGTTTGTGTGGCTGTTAGCTGAGACTGCTCTTTGGTCTGCTTCTCAATCTCAGCGATCTGCTGTCTCTGCTGGGATGGAGCAGAGATCTCCATACCCAGGATGATGTCCCTGATTTCAGACTGGGTCAAAGATGCCACATTCACACTGTGGAGAAGTTAACAAAATTAATATCTGAAAAGTGGACCATTTCACATCCATATGCATTTTCCAGTCAGCATTCATTATCTAGTACTCACTTGTTCTTCTTGCCATAGTCAGCCAGGATGAGATCTTTGAGCTGCACCTCCACTTTGATCCACTCCTCATCGGTCAGAGTGGGCCAGATGTGGTGGGGCTCGGTGATCGTGGTCTTGTCAGGCTTCAGGATAACTTTGGCACGGTCATTGTTGACATGAAGTGCTCTCAGGATTAAGATCAAACGAGAGAATGCCTAGGCAACAAAAACATACTAGTTTTAGACATTGTAGTAATGACCAGTGTAACCCTCAGAAGCTACTCATGATTTCAGTTAGGTCAAAATTATAGTATAAGAGCAGGATTTACAGTGTAAGAGGAGATGGTCTTCAGCCAATCGTCATACAGATTGAACAGGACCATTTGAGGCTCTGTGGCCTTCAGAATGAGGTCTCCAAACTTCTCCACTTTCAGACAGGCCTGGAAGGGTAGCTGGAGCTCAGAGCCCTTGATTACAATGTTGGGGAAGTCCAGCAAGTGCACCTGAGGAAAACAGACAGCTGTTAGCTTAAAAGTTAACATCTTCAATAACTTACCAGTGCTATAAAACAGCTACTTTGCCTTTAACAATGGGTGGTTCTAACCTCAAGAGGATCCAACATGCCCTTCCTGGTCACAATAATCTGCTTGGGCTGCTCTTCAACAGGCAGCGATCGGATCAGGGCAGCCACTTCTTCAGCAGTTTTCCACTTAGCTAGCTACAAAAACACAAATGCAAAATGTATAACCAAGCAAACAGAGCCACGAGGGACTGCTTTGTGCAGACCACAGTAACCTTATGGAGACAAAATACAGAGCACAGAGTGACAGACTTACCTGCCCAAGACGCTTTTGTCCTGCCCATACAGATGTGTGAATGATCTTTAGGAAAAGCTGTCCAGTTCTGGGGTTGAAAATGAAAATGGCTCCGTTGATTGGTTTTGTGGTCAAGTTTCCTTCAAAGGTCTAAAATGGGAAATGAAAGATTAAAATATTTGGCACACAATCTATAGAAAACAATATAAGAAAAGAAAATATAAACACCAAAAGGGACATCTTCATGATGTTAAAGTCACTTGCCTTGTGGATGGTGACTCTATACACATTGGTGTCATCCACAAACCAGATGATCTGGTTGGAGAACAGCTCTCCGTAGTTCTGGGAAGACAGGTAAGGCTCAGTGGGCTCTGAAGAGTAGAGCTGCAGACCCTTGCGGATTCGCTCTCTCAGCACATACAGAGCTGGGTTGGCCTTCATTATCTTCGCCATGGCCTGCTGGATCAGGGGCTTACCTCCAGGGAACCAGTTACCATAAGCACTGTAGAGAGAGAAACAAGCAAATCATAAATACTTGATGCTCTGTCGCTGTTTTTGGGATGTGTAACAAACTTGTACTTAACTTTGTGATTTAAATCACCAACACAATATGCTATAATATACTGACCTGTGAAGGTTGTATGCCAGATCAATGGCAATCAGCACTCCAGTGGGTGATGGGTAAATACTCATGTTGTCAGTGGTGTAATCCAAGAACTTGGCCCTGGCATATCGCTCAATGTCATGAGAGTCGTAGTCACCCCATCTGAGCTGAATGTCAATCCAGTACTTCTGCGTGGTGGTGCTGTCCATAACATCCCTATAGAACGAATCAGACATTTACCATACCATACAACAGGACTGTATGGCTTTAATGTGGTTTTTACATGCGAGTATTATGTGTGAAATGTTTAAATTTTTCCTCCTGATTTTTTAGATGTCAATGGATTCATTAATTTCAATCACACATACTTGGAGTCTGCTAGAAGTGAGGGACGAGAGACGTTCCAC